CTTCCAGAAACAAGCTCGATCCCCTGAAAATAACACCTCTCCGAAAATAAGCCTATCGAAAGGGTACATTTACKAAATATAAGCCCAGAAGGTTGGTAGGTTGGAGGTTTAAGCTATTTTTATACGTACCTGGTCTGTATGTGGAAAATTCTAATCTATTCATTTATGTAATTCACCAGATGTCTCCTGAGGTATATTCAGAATTTGCTCGTCAGTGCGGACTCCAGAAATCACTTCCCGAACGCCTTTTTGACCATTACCAGGAGAAAGATAGCAAAGACGATCAAGTGCTATTTTTGTTCGAAAACTACCGCTCTCACGAGGAAATACTTAACTTTCCTTCGGTGAACTGCTACGAAAAAGGCATCGTCGCAAGAGGTAACATTCCTGGCCATCCTAAGATACCGCCTTTGGTTTTCTACGCAGCCAAAGGCAAAGATAAAAAGCAAAGCAACAACTCGTTCTTAAACGAATCTGAAGTTTACGAGGTAGAGAAGCGAGTAGTTGAGCTGGTAGAAAACTGGCCACWGTGTTGGGGCCAGAAGAACCTASGAGACATTGCAGTAGTTGCTCCCTACAAATATCAGGTATTTYATWCAAATTTGGGGATAAAATRTGAAAGCTATAAAAATGATATTTCCTAGTAAATTATGATGTGTTGATATCGTATACAATGTAAGCAATGTAAAATTTTTGTTTCTTTAGGTGGACGCAATTCGAGGTGAATTGAGGAAAAAACGAATGAGTGAAGTCRATGTTCAAACGATCCACAATATACAAGGTATAGATTCATGTTACTTTATTAACAGTTCGCGAACCATTCCATTAATTCGAACCATTGCAATAATCAACAAGTAACTACAAGTAACTAAMCTTGYGAAATGTCAAATTCTGTTTACCAATTTCGTCCTTCTTGTGTCTAAAGGAAACTAACTACATTAAACATTTTTCAATCTTTTTTTCATTTCAGGAAGGGAATTCAGAGCTGTGTTTATCAGTACTGTGCGAACTTGGAATTCCATCCAAGACTTGAGCCAGTCTGACAAATTGTCCTGTGACGATCTATCTCTGGAATTTCTTTCTGATCCGAAGCTGCTCATAACTGCTGTTACACGAGCAAAGTCATTGGTGGCTGTTGTTGGTGACCCTTTTGCCTTATGCACCCTAGGAAGGTGTAAATATCTTTGGGACGATTACATCACAAGATGCTACAATCTTAACGGGTTATTYGGAATAACATGGGAAGCCTTAAGTGAAGACATAGGTGCCCATTTCTCTCAAATTCAACTGGATCCAGAAGCTCCAACTTTTGTTCCTAAATCAGAAATTTCTAGGAATGATGATGGAGATGAGGCAAATATRGAATTTCCAAACAACACCGCCCCAAACCTGAGTGAACCAGAAACGGAGGAAGATCAGGCATCCTCTTGCTCTGGAGACATTAAATATGATACTGAAGACGATGATTGTTTTGCTGATGTGGAAGACGATTTAGAAGACGAGGCCGTGCTTCCAGATAATATTGATGGAATAATCAAAGAGCTATGTAAATTCGTTAAAAAACGCCAGCAGCAAACTGCTGTTATGGATGAGGAATTTCCCGCCTTGGKCAAGTGCTCTTCAAAAGTTAAAGAAACTCAAGTTATTTGGCCCTCGAAAAGGCCCACTCAGGACTTTGATCCTAAAACACTGAAAAGCGAATATCGAATTCGCAACAGGAATGGGCGCACCGAAATCCAGCTGTTGGATATATACAAAAGCCCTTCAGATCGAGTACAGCAGATCGCCATGAATAACTACAAACATCAAAACCTYGAGCCCGAGGTACTAATAAATATGCTTGAAAAAGAACCTTTGAAATTCTACTCTGGTCAGCTTCAGATACSAAATGAGAAATCAAGGACAGCCTATCTCGTTATTCCTGACAAAGACAAACCTGATATACAAGTTAAGGGATCAATCAGACATGCATTTGATCACGATACTATTGTAGTCGAAGTACAGCCAAGTCAGGACGAAACAGAAAGCATAAGCTGTGGTTTCCTCAAAGGTAAGGTGCCTCATATTAAGATGTAGGTTTAGAAAAAACGTCTTAAGAATCTCTCTTTATTGTTTTGAAACGTTTTGCATTTTCTATTTCAGGTGTGCTGGATCACATGATTAGCCCTCGCGAACGGCAGTATGTTTGCAAGGTCACTCTGAAAAATCCTGCAGTCATGATTCCCATTAACAAATCAGTTACAAGAATAGTAAACCTTAGTGATAAGAGCCTCAGAGATATCATACCGGTTTACAAAAAGCGCAAGACGCAAGACGAAAGAGTCGACAGACCAATGAATATGATAGCCTTAGAAGAGGTTATAGAGAAGAAGCTTTTATTTGTTGTCGAGTTTCTTCAGTGGAGAAGTGACTGCTCCCTTCCTCTGGGAATTGCCGTAAGAACTATGCCGACAGGGGAAACAGCAGAGCAATGCAAAGAAATCCTCTTTGCTGAATGCGGCATTCGCAAAGCCTTCAGTAGGAACAATAAAGAGATGATACGCAAGCGTTTTCCAACAACATGGAAAATTCCAGACAATGAAATGAAGAACCGGAAGAAGATTGAAAATGCTTTTACTATTGATCCACCAGAAGCTAAAGACCTGGATGATGCCATCTCAATAGATGAAATTGGAGATGGAAAGTTCAAGGTTGGGATTCACATCGCTGATGTAAGCTTTTTTATACAGCGTGGTACTGATCTGGATCGAGAAGCACGGCAAAGAGGAGTGTCATATTATCCCGGTCAAGATGGGGAAGAAAATATACCCATGCTTCCACGTGAACTAAGTGAGAATATCCTTAGTCTCCTGCCAAATGAGGACCGCTTGACTGTTTCAGTTTTTGTTAGTCTTAACAGTGAAGGCGAGGTCGTCGGCCAAAAAGAGATTCTGAGAACTGTGACGCGTTCTCKCTGTAGGCTTAGCTACTCTCAAGCACAGCAGATATTAGAYRTGGAGGAGCATGATAATGTAGAGGGCGTGCCTGCTCAAGTRMYTCCAGCAATTAAGARGCTTCATTCACTTGTMGTGAAAAGGCGCTGGCAGCGTCTTAAAGAAGCATCTTTTGAGGATTCSAATAACGGAGAAGATGCARATGCACACGAGCTAATAGAAGAGCTCATGATTCTTGCCAATCATACAGTTGGGRACTTCCTGCATAGYAGAAATCCAAGGGGYACCCCATTCCGTACACAACTAGAACCAAAGGTCCATCGYCTCAATGAATGGGCAGAAAAGTATGGCTCACTTGCCAAGTACTCTCCGGCTCTGCAGCCAAAACTTMAGAGCGAGGACATCAAAAAGGAAATCAAAGAAARAATAWATACAGAAGAAAAAGAAATCGACATTCATGAACACACCTGGGACGAAATATTTAGAGCTTCAGAATCTGGGGATCTCAGAAGAGTGAAGCGTTTGATTTGTGACCCGTCGTCTTCACCACAACTTACGATAGCACGTCTGCATCTCATGCGAATTCAGACCAAATCTCAATACACGTGCTCTGGAAGTGACGCTGAACATTATTCCCTAGGACTGAGTAACTACGTTCACTTCACCTCACCCATCAGGCGCTACGTAGACATTGTAGTCCACCGCCTTCTTTTAGCACTGATACCAAGTAATAGTGTGGAACAAGCCACTTTGAATGAAGATGAGATGGCAACGCTCTGTCGCAGGTCCACATACTTCAAAACCAACTCAGACAAATTTGAGAAGGAATTCAAACGCATCCATTTTGCTTCAACGTTGAAACAGAAAAACAAGTCTGGGATGTTTTTTATAGACCAGTTGGAGGGCCGTTTCTTCACGATACATCCAGTGAGTCCAGATCACGATTATTTCTTGGGGAAGCACAAGAGGGTTAATTTTGATATCCTTTTGCCTTCCTCTAAGTCAGACAACACTGATGGCAAGCCAGAAACCACTCTCAAATGGAGGTCGMGAATATACCTGGCACATTCATCGGGAACCGAAGCTGATGATTTGTCTCTCTCCCGTCGGGATGAAGCCAAAATCAAGAATTTGTTAGATAGCGGTAGAAACCGTGTCGCTCTTCAGAGGATAAAGGGAAATACCTGGAAGTGCATTATAGATGCTATYAAGGATGGTAAACCAGTAGATGAACTACTACGACATGTAAAACTAGCTGACGAGAACTTGAAAGAAAGTCCTACTCAAAAGAGGCCTTTTACAGCCGGAAGCTCCAATCGAGATGTCTACAAGCATCCTAACTTTGGCCGAATGGATGTTGGTACGAACAGCAACAATGATTGTCATTTTCATGAGATAACTATGAATCTCAAGATGTGTGACATGGTTCGCTTTCAAATGTTTTCACGTCTGCACAGTAAGATGCTCTGTCCAGACGTTCAGCTTTTGAGAGTTTCATCAGGTTTTTGTATTTGCCTGGAGCATCAAAGATACCCTCGAAGGTGCTTTGCATTCGATACAAAACGGTGTGCCTCAAAAGCAGAATATTGCAGTGTTGATGAGTACGTTAACTTATGGAAACCAGTACTTGCCATGGAAGCCGCAAATGCAGCGGTTGTTCAGAATGATGGATTTATTCTGAAATCTTTGCAAGTGAAGTGGAAACAAAAGGATGGAGATATCAAGGGAAAGTTCACTCTGACGATATCTTATTGTGAATCTCGGCAATTGGAGTTCCACTATGGTGACCTCATGTGCATTAGAATTCCATTCTCGGACGACTTATTGCCAGAAGATGCTGAGGCAACAACTGACGATCAAGAAATCAGTATTTGGGTAGGACATTGTGTTATTGAAGCTGTAGAACCAGCTGAGAAGGACCAAAATGCAACATCAGTGACTGTCAGACTTCATCAAATGGCATGTGAATTTCCTCGTCACCTTTTGACCAAAGGCCAACGGCGGGAGTGTGACATGGAGTATATTTACCAGCCTCTGCCGTTAAGGTTTGTTTTGTTTTGTATTCCTCTAGAACATCAGTTAAACAGTTTAAGAGCACCATTTTTCCAAACTGAAAAGGAGACAAACGAAATCCTCCCCTTCCCCCCCCCCC